GTCCATTCCAGTTCTCTTTTTGCAGCACTGAGCTGAGAAACTTCCCAATGTGTGTGACCTCAACTGTGCAATTATAAATAGATGACACAACATGAGTTACTTGACCGGGACTACAGTAAACACCCGAACCAAAATTACAAATCTTGAAAGCTGTGTTTATTTAAGCATTAAAATCAATCTACTTTCGCAATGAATTGGGTCATCAACTTGGTCTTTTAGTTTCAAATGAAACCTTTGACACTAAAGTACAGTATTTCTGAAAGCAGATTTTAAACTGACCTGTGGCTTCGAAGCAATCGAACCAATGACTTTGCAACAATATTAACCTCTGACTTTGGTGCAAGGTGCCAATAAAGCTGAGCAACACCCATTACCACCTGAAAAAAAAAATGAAGAACTTGATAACCCAATTATTAAACATCAAGAACGTTAAAGTGCACATCACCTTATTTGTTGAGGAAGGTATTTGCCTGTTGTGGCATGGTATTAATTATTTTTATTTGAAATGTGGGTGTCGCTAGCTAGTCCAGTATTTATTGCCTATTCCTAATTGTCCAGAGGACAGTTACAAGTCAACCACATTGTTGTGGGTCTGCACGTATATGCAGGTCAGACCAGGTAAAGATGCTAGATTTCTTTCCTATAGGACAATAGTGAACCAGATGGGTTTTTACAACAATCAGCAATGGGTACATGGTCACCATTACACTAATTAAACTACAGATGTTTTTAAAAAAAAAAGTTAAATTCCAATTTCAACAATTGTTCAGAACATTAGCCTGGGATTCTGGTCCAGTAATATTATCTCTACATTCCTTGAAATGACTTATGATAAAGCATGACAAACCAGCTATGGTGATCACCTACAATGAAGAAGATCTGATGATTTGTAACAGAGGTCAAGGATTTTGAATCAAAGCAATGTTGAAGTTGTCTGAAGGAGAGGGGTGTGGGAATGTGGTGGTGGTGGCAGTGAAAGAGACCGATTTGGCTTGGAGGACATTGCTCCCATGGTGGGTGGGATTTATGTTTTGTATAGGATGGAGGCCCATAGTTTGGCCATTAGTCTGATCATATAAACTAACAAGGGAAATTAGAGATAGTAACAAATCCAAGGAAGGGCACATAAATTGGCCAATAAAGGAGGTAGTTGAGAGGATTGGGAGGAGTTTAGATTTGTATGAAGGAGAGCAAGGAATTGATTATGACGGGGAAACAGTAGGAGAAGTAGTTTGTGGAGAGCACACAAACTGATTATAAAAGGTCTATAGGGGTATATTAAGAGATAAAAGATTAACAAAGACAAGTGTAGGACTCAGTCGAAAACAGGCAACTTCATAATGAGAATCAAAGATGGCAGACCAGTTAAATACATGCTTTGGCTGTCTTCACAGAAGATGACAAATAATGAGCTAAAAATGTTGGGAATTACAGTCAAGCGTAAGGGAGGAACTTAATATTAGTATTAGTGGGAAATGGTGTTGAGGAAATTGATGGGATTTAAGGCCAACGACTATGCTGGAACTGTATAATAAATGCTGGTTAGGACATAGCTGGAATATTGTGTGCAGTTCTGGAATCCGCATTGTAGAAGGGATGCGATTGCACTGAAGATGGTTCAGAGGAGGTTTGAGGATGTGGCCTGGGCTGGAGAGTTCTAGTTATGAGGAAGACTGCTTAGATTGGAGTTGTTTTCCTTGGAGCAGAAGAGACTGGATTATGGACGGGCAGAGATAGGATAGACAAAAAGGAATTTTCCCACTTGGTGGAGGGACCAATGACCATGGGGATACAGATTTAAGTTAAAGGTTGGGAGGTTTATTGGAGATGCTAAGTAGTAGATTTTCATCCGGAAGGTGATGGGAATATCAAACTCACTGTCTGTAAGGGTTATACAAGCAAATACCCTAACATTTAAGAAGTGTTCGATGTGCACTTGCATTGCCAAAGCATACAAGGCTATGGGCCACGTGATAGAAAACAGAATTACAAAATAGAATAGGTAGATGAATGCTTTTGAAATTTCTGCACCCAGAGAGCAGTGAGCCTGTGAAATTCACTGCCACAGAAAGGCCAAAACATTGTGTTTTTAAAGAGGAGGTTGACATAGCTCTTACATCTCAAGGGATCAGGAATTTTCATTTTTTTTTTGGGGGGGGGGGGGCAGGGGCATGGGTGGTAGGATTACAAAAAAGGTACTGAGCTCAATGATCAACCAGGATCAAACCTGAATGCTGCAGCAGGCTCAATGGCCTACTCCTATCTTCTATGTTTCTATGGAAGGTAGCTAATGTAACAAATGTTTAAAAAAAGGAGGTAGAGCAAAACGGGGAATTACAGAAAAGTGAGCCTGACATCAGTAGAGGGGAAAATGTTGGCGTTCATAACAAAAGATTTAATAGCACAGCATTTGAAAAACAACAGCAGGATGAGACAGACAGTCAGCAAGGATAAATGAAAGGGAAATCACGCTGGTCAAATTCACAGAAATTTGAGGTTGTAACCAGAAGCATTGATAAGGAGAAGCTCGTGGATGCAATTCATGGACTTGCAGAAGGCTTTTGATAAGATCCCACATAATAGATTCAAGTGCATGACACTGGGGGTACAGTACTGACATGGATAGATAACTGGTTGGCAGATAGGAAGCAGAGGAGGAATAAACAGGTCTTTTTCAGAGTAGCAGGCAGTAGCTAGCAAGGTGCTGCAACTATCAGTGCCCTGACACCAACTATTCAAAACATAAATGTAAATGTAATATTTCCAAGTTTGCAGATGATACAAAGCTGGGTGGGAGGGTGACCTGTGAGGAGGCTGCAAGATGCTCAAGTATGATTTCAACAAATTGAGTGGGCAAATGCCTGGCAAGTGTAATGAGGATAAAAGCGAGCATATTCACTTTGGTAGCAAAAACAGTTTGGCAGATTATTGTCTGAATGAGACAGATTTGAAAAGGGGTAGCTGCAACGAGAACTGGCTGTCCTTGTACACCAGTTGCTGAAAGTAAGCGTGCAGGTGCAGCAGGCAGTGACGGATGCAGTCGAATACAGGGGGAGTCATATAGGACTGAGATGAGGAGAAATTTCTTCAGCCAGAGACAGTGGTAAGCCTGTAGAATCTCCGTCACAGACAGCGATCAAACCCAAAATATTAAAAGATGGCATTATAAAAAAATTCTTCGGGCTGGAGGGATCAAAGGGTATTGGGAGAAAGCTGGAACAGGATAGAGTTGGACAATCAGCCACGATAATATTGAATAGCAAGTTAGGTTTGGAGGGCCAAATGGCCTATTCTTGCTCCTATTTCCTGTGTTTATGTTTTTGAGAAGTCCAGAGTTTATATAGGACGATGACAAAAGTGCAGATGAGACCCTCAGTAGCAGCAAAATCAAGGTGAAAGGAAATGTTGCAGAAGGGGACAAACAGAAGCATAGCTTAGAATGATTGTGTACACAAAGACTCTGCAGCATCAGGTTCAAACTGGAAAGCAACAGACGAAAGAATTATGGATAAGGGTATTGGGCTTTTTGCAGGGACCTAAAAGGCTGACTCCATTCTAGCCAAAACTAAACTGAAGAAAACTTTGCCTTGCCAATAACTTGGATGTCAGACAACCAGACAGTGATGGTCATGGAATGGAAGGTAATCACAGCAAAGATACAGCACTCAAAGCAATCAGTCTACTTATACAGATTTGAACCAAATGTCCGAGTTACTGAGAGGAATAACATGGGAAAAAAAGATATGCGTTAAACAGCAGCTTTAGAAGTACGTTTCAGGTAACTGTAAAGGAGGACAATGAATCTTTGAAATTAGTGAGGAAGACCAGTTTATTGCTTCTGTCCTAATTTGTACCTCAGTTACTGCACTGTTGAAACCTTATCCAAACTTTTGTCACCTTTCGTATTTTAACAAATCTTTCTTGATCACCCTTCTTTGGTCCACTCTACATGAATTTCTGCTTACGCAAAACCTTACTGCTGCAGCCCTTTGCACTGTCTGGCTGAACCATCACCTCTGTTCTTTACTAAAACACAGGCTCGTACAGCCCAACATTTTAATACAATGAGAGTTATAAAATTTCCACATCATCTTAAAACCCAAACAGACTAACATCTTCCAGGTCTATGAATCGCTTTGACTCTCTTCAACGTTAGTTTCCATTGACTCCCTCAGTTTAAATTCCCCTACCCCACACCCTCTGCAACTTCCTATCTGAACTCCTCTAATCCTCTCATCCTTGACTACCACTTAAATGATAACTGACTTGTTTACTATTTTCTCTCCTTCAGTCAAATATCAATTTTTACTTCTCTGCTTCTCAGTGAAACACACACTTTGCTACATTAAAATTGTCAAGCATAAATTGTACAAATTAACCTGATTTTGATGGCATTGCTAGAGTATTACAAGATAGTGAAAAGACAAGTTCCTCTTAAAAAATGCCACGATTTTAATGAGCATTTGGATTATAAACAAAAAAGTTAGCGCAATTAACCATGCCCAATTTTAATCCTTAGAAGTAAAAACAAAATTCAATGAACAGAACGCAGAGTTATCTTTCTTCCATTTACAAAGTCTGAAAACTAGCACAGTAATAGCCACAGATTGAATCAAAGACAAAATAACATGTTTCTGAATGTCATTTTTAGGAATCTGGAAAGATGGTTTCTGGTCACATGTGCAACCATCCAAGGATGCAGTGTTATGCTTAGCCTTACCTTATAATAAATTTTAATAGTAAACATTTCACTGAAGGTGCTTATGAACAAAGCATGGCAATGTGTCCAGAAGAAACAAGACTAATTGTCTTTGAGATAGCAAGAACTGCAGATGTTGGAGTCAGAGACAACTCTGCATGGAGCTGGAGAAACACAGCAGGCCGGGCAGCAGAGGAGCAGGAAAGTTGACGTTTCGGATCGGGACCCTTTTCAGAAACGGGGAGGGGGAAGGGAGTCTTGTAAGTTAGTCATCCATCTTCTCTTCTAAATGACCAAAGCAGTTCAGCCATTGTTTTCTAATAGCTTTTCTTTCAATATAAAGCCACATTTCATTAAGAATCATGCTCTTTCAGCAGGCCAAAAGCAAACATCTAAAATTCACCAAACAACTCATGTCAGATGTTCACATCACATCAGGACAGTGTGCAAAATCTAGCAATTTCTGCAGTTTAACAGCATCATTCTGAAAGTAACATTGTTTCTGAGAAACCTTTTGGACAAGACGTGATGCATATACTGCAACCAATTATTTAAACAAAAAATCAGGTCTCATGACAGACTCATTTTAATGATTATTTGGAACTGACTATATGCCAAACTGCTTAGTCAAATCAGAGCTGCAAGTTGTTCATAAGAACAGCAAATAGTGTCCATGGTTCTGTCTTGATCCACATGCAACAGCAATACTAACGTAATCACGCTTTCTTCACTTTCACTACTGGTTTATCAAATGAAGCACAGTGATAATGAAGCCACTGGATATCATCTAGAGGCAATCTGGCTGGAAAGAACATATCATTGCTTGTGCTATTTTCCCTTGCATCAGGAATTACATGGATTTACTGATTATAACAATTAAGATAATCAAGACATTGTGATGCATACAGCAGCATTCCTACTCTGTAGTAATGGCCTGGTGTTCCGGAGCAGCAGTCGATGATCTGGGTCCATTATGTATGGTTTTTTAGCAGCAACACCATTTTTATTCTGGTCTTCATCAGAATCGTAGAATGCTTCCACATTCTTTTCATCCAGCATTGCCTCCTGAAAACAAAAATTGTTCATTGTAAATGAAACAAATCTTAAGATTGCTCTAAGTTTTACAGGCCCTTCAATATCTCCAACTTTTTTGGAAATTGCAGCTATCAAAACCAAGAAAATTTATAATTTGCCGCTTGTATTAGAGTACTTTCGTTGCTTTGTAGTGCATATTGAACTTGCATTATAGCAACTGTAAAAGTGGAAAGGCTCTATTTTACTGGACCTGAATGCAGAATTGATAGTCTCTGCCAAACAAACCCATGTTTTACTCTAACAAAGCTGACACACAATGGCTGGACAGCTTCTTTTTGTGTTGAAAACTTCCGTGGTATAATTCCAATGATCAGTGTACACACCCTATCTAAAATAGATACCAGGAAAGAAATTACTTGTACATAACTTGATAGCATTTTCATGCCCATGTTTCTACATTTGGATTTTCTTTCAATACAACAGATTATAGTCCACACTAAATTGTGTCTCACCTGTACAATTAAATGTTTTAAGTTATACTCGCCATAATTCACTTCATAGTTAAAATACTTCAGAATATTTCTTGACTATATCTTCAACATTTGTAATGAATGGGAAGTTTTCCCATTGTACAAAAGCAAGCATGAAATCCAGAGCATCCAATAATTTTGGCCTTCTTTATGGACATCAAATGTGTTTTAAAAAGTGCTTCTAACTGTGTATTTTTTCCTGTTTTGTCAATACACAGGCAAGTTTCAACTCAATTACTCCTTCAGAAATACAGTGGACAATGCACAGTATGAGGTTCAGGTGAATACTAAAACATACACTCATCTGAAGCATTTTTTTTTTTTTAAAAAGCACTCAAGTCACAGAACCAATTGCCTTTTCTGTCAACAGCACAATAAATAAATTGACTACCACTAAGTGAAAAAAAGCAGGCCTAAATCAGTCCCATCAAGAGCTCCATATAGCCCACAACCTAAAATTACCCTATTTTCACAACAACAGGCTCTGACAGTGCTGTTAAGTGCATTAGTTGCCCACAGATGACAACATGCCATCAACTCCACTGAGCAAAGCCACTCAACAAGAAGCCACACTTCATGGCTGTATATAGAAGTAAATAACCTTCAATTAGTGGCAAGATGTGAATTGTGGAAAGATTAACTTACTGATGAAATTCTTGAGCTTAGCTATTAGTACTTTCTTTACAAAAAATGTCTTCAACGAGAGAAATATACAAACCATCAACAATTCATCCATATCACAGTTTAATATTCAGCATAACATTTCTACATCTTAATTTTCCAGCTCTACAATCCTTTCAATGGTGAAAAGCAGCCATGTGAAGATGGTTTAACATTGCACCAAAGCAAAATGGACACCATTAAAATCAGGGTTCTGAAATTAGCAGTCCATCTAGAGTAGAGGATTATATTTTCACAGGAAAATTTTAACCTTTCCACAATTGAGGTCACATCCCTAAATTGACCAAATTGCTGCACTAAATGCCATTTATAAAAATGCTGCAGTGAATATGGCCACAGAATTAGCACTATACCAACTTTTGAAGCATTTCAATTACTTGCATCTTGGGATTTTACTTTTCACGATACTTCTTCTGTGAAGAGCAAACAGAAGAAAAAAAATTTAACTTGTTCGGAAAAAGATGATGTTCATGGCACACTGGTGTTACTGACAAGATTAGTATTTACTGCTCATATCTAATTGCCCTTGAGGAAGTAATGGTAAGGGGATGGAGGGGGCACTCTTGGATTGCAGCAATCCATGTGAAGAAAACACCTGTAAATACCATTATGTAGGAAGTTCCATGGATTCAACCCAGTGACACAGAAGGAACGATGATGAAGTCAGGATCATAAGGCGCCTGGAGGGGAAACTGCAAGTAGTTGTGCTTCCATGCCATTCCTGGTGGTAGAGTTTGCAGGTTTGGGAGCTTATGTGAAACAGCTTTGGAGAAATGGTGTCATGCATCTAAGATGGAGAGAATGAAAACTGAATATCAAAAATAAAGGTGTCACCAAGTGGGTTGCTCTGCCCTGGACGGTATCGAATTTCAAGCATTACTAGATTAATCCAGGCAAGCGGGAAGTATTCCATCTGATTCTCAATTTATGCCTGTTCAGCATCCACAAGGTGAGTACTCACTAAAGAAGTTATTGCCCTGACTGGTTCTCAAAGAGAGCATTACCATCACAGATCATTCTGCCCATCATGTTCCTGCTGGTTGAAAAACAGCCATTCAGCCGAACCCTACTCCCAGTGATGTATCCATGGACCAGTCTTGAAGTCCATGGTTTGAACAAGAAGTCCAACTTCTTGATTCAACTGCAAGTTCTGCCTTACAGCTTCTACCTTCATAAGTAAAACTCTCCAGCCTAGATTACATCTTTGGTAAATCTCCTCTGCACTTTCTCCATTGCTATTACATCTACTGCATAAACTACACACAACGCTCTATTCTGACTGAACCAATATTTTATGCAGTTCCATAACCTCCCTGCTGTTAAACTCTATGTTTTGGCTAATAAAGGCAGGTGCACCACATTGGTGTGCAAGAAGCAAGGTCCCTCTGAACTTTGGTATTTCCAAGGGTCTTACCATTCATCATACATTGCCTCACCTTATTTTTCCTGCTCAAGTGCACCACCTCACAATTATCCAGATTGAATTACATTTGCCACTGATCAGCCTGTCTATATCCTTCTGTAATCTAAGGGTATTTTCCTCACCACCCCATGAATTTTTGAATCATCTGTGAATACACTGATCAACCTTCCTACATTCAAGTCTAAATTATTTATGTGTACAACAAACAGCAAAGATCCCAATACAGATTCTGGTGCAATCCTGCTGGACACAGGCTCCCAGTCACAAAAATCACCCCTTGACCATCATACTCTGATTCCTGCCACTCAGCCAAATTTCCTTAGATTCCATAGCTAAGGGCCAATCAGTCTCCCACAGAAGACCTTCTCACAAGTCTTGCTGAAATCCAAGTTGACCACATCAAATACGCTGCCTTCATTTAAACGCCTTGCCACTTCTTCGAAAAATTCAAATTCGTCAGACAGGACCTCCCCTTAACAAAACCATGCCGACTATTCCAGATTAATTCCTGCCTCTCCAAATGCAGATTAATTTTGTCCCTCCGAATCACTTCCAAAAGCTTACCCAGCACCGAGGTGAGACTGACTAGCCCGTAGTTTCCTGGTTTATCCTTTACTCCCTTGTTAATAACAATAACACACTGGCTTTTCTCCAGTGCTCTGGCACCTCTCCTGTGACCAGAGAAGAATTGAAAATTATTGCCAACGCCCCTATTATTTCCTCCCTTGCATCAACAGCCTGGAATATAATTTCATCCTGCCTTGGAGATTTATCTACTTATAAGCCTGCCACAACACTCAACCTCCTCCCTGTTAATTTCTTGAACTGTTTCACATACTTTCTCTCCATACCCATCTCACCCCTCTCACTGGTGAACACAAAAAAAATTCACCTATAACCCTAATCTGACCTAAATCTTCCAACTCTCCAGACAAATTACCACTGTAGTCCTTAATGTGCTGCTACCCTTTCCTAGTTAGCTTTGTATGCTTAATGAACTTGTAAAATAACTTTGGATTTTCCTTGATTTTACTTATTATTCTTTTATGCCCCCTTTCTGCTCCCCTAATTCCCTTTTTAAGTTTCCCCTCGCACATTCTGTACTCTCGGACTTCTGTTGTTTAGACCCCTTGGTATCTAGCATAAACCTTTGTTCTCTTCATCCAATCCATGTAAGCCTTGATAAGGTTCGCCGGATTTGTTGGTCAAACCCTTCATCTTTATTCATTCAAAGATGTTGACCCTGTACTCTCCCTACTCCCTTCCTAAATGCACGCCACTGCTCCAACAGAATTACCGACAAGTATCTGTTCCCAGTTCACTCTGGCCAAGACAAATCTGATCTTATTAAAAAATCTGCCTTTGCAAATTTGGTGATATCCTGAAAGATGGAGGATCCAATGACTGCAGCATTTCGATATCACAGAAAGGTGTTGAGCTGCAGCTCGAGTGGCCAGTGTGGTTGGAGTTGTGGATGGAATTTCTATGGAGCACACATGTTGTTAATGACATCGTGGGCAATACGTCTCTCAAGCTGAACACACCACAAGGGTTACGGACACAGAAAAAGTGTTGGGCGACCTCCAGAAGACTAGGCACAGACAGGCCGCGCAGGCGGTATGGGTGTGGATTCTCTGGGGAAACCACCAAGTTTGTGCCATCATAGTCGGCTCTGCTGCACAATAGGGGAGGAAAAAGACTGGGCGAGTTCAATTGTAAGGGGAGCAGACAGGCAGTTCTGCGGCAGAAAACTCTAGAATGATACGTTGCCTCCCTATTGCCAGGTCAGGGATATCTCAGAGCAACTGCAGGGCATTCTGAAGTGGGAAGGTATTAACGACATGGGTTAAAAAAAAAAGTCCTGCAATAGGAATTGAGAGAATTATACAGTACATTAAAGAGGAGAACCACTAAGGTTTGAAAAATCCTGATTACTTCTAGCATCACGCATTACTCAGTACGGGAGTAGGAAGATAGGTCAGATGAACATGTGGCTAAAGGGACAGTGGAGGAGGGAAGGCTTTAAATTTTAGCATTGGGACAGCTTCTGGGGTAGGTGGGACCTGTACAAGCTGGACAGTTACACCTCAACAGGAATGAGTCTAATATCTTTGCTAGGAGGTTTGTTCATACTCGGGTGATTTTAAACTAATTTGGCAGAGTGATGGGGGAAAAGGAGATGAAAAGTCAGGAGCAAAGTTCAGTCGGACACAGAAAGAAGACTCCGACAGTCCAACAGAGAAGACATGGTACGTTAAGGCGCATGGCAGGTCAAGAGCTAAATTGAATCGATTTTAAATGCAAGGAGCCTGACTAGTAGAGTGACAATCAGCACGTGGGAATTTGATATTGTTGCAATCACCGAGTCACAGTTTAAAGGAAGGACAGGATTGACA